ATTACTCTTTTTTTCCTCTTCTTTCTTCTTCTAGTTGAGCTCTGATAATCCAGTCATTGAAGTCAGGTCAAGTGGGTATTATTTGTAAGTGTGGATATTCTTGTGAATTTGCCTTCTCTTCTTATCAGCTGGCGCTTCACTCTCCATTCTAGTCCTCTGTGGCTATGTCACTGACCCTGAGCCCAAGAGTCCCCAGGTTTTGCCCCACTGCTGGCCAACCAGGTCTCCACCAGGTTCACAGGAGTCTGTTGCACGTTGTAGGTCTTAGCTCACAGCTTCATTGCTGTTTTTCCCTCACTTCCCCTTGTCGGTGACAAATGTGGTCACCAATCAGAGCGTGTGTTCTCATTGAGTCTTAGTCTTGGAAGGGGGTTTGCTCTGAGTGGACCTGACCACTGGTCTTGATGTCTCCTGTGCAGCAACTTGCTTGTTCTTGTAGTAATCAGTCAGTCTTCCTATATTGTTTCATATTTTCCCTGTGAGTCTTTCTTTCCAGAAGTATCTTCTGTTCTTCTAGCCGCTCCAGGTTGGTCTGCCCGTCCTTTCAAGTGGAAATTTCTCACCTCTGAAGATTCTGGATGTGGTTCAGGATTCCACCTATAGTCTTATGTAATGCAGAGGCTTCGCTGGAAGCCTCCTTCACTGGGCACATTGTAGCCCCATTTTAGGTATGCCAGTCAGTTATAGGCAGAAGCCGAATTTACAAGCGTTCTATGGTGATATTTCTGACTATTCCTTTCTCTCCCACTCCAGTGTCCATTTTATAATATAATGCAAGGAAAACCAAGATTCAAAGACAGCCAGGCATCTTAACATTATTTCCTCCTTTTTCCCCATTCCAACCATGTCTCAATCCCTGTATTCCAGAGCCCTGTTGTTCCAAGGTTGTGCATACATCATTATTTACCTCTGACCCACTTAGCCCATTCCATGCTTTTTTATCTGTTCTGCGTTATATTGTTTGTGATAATTGGATGTAGTATTTTTCCTGAGTAAGAAAATGATTTGAAAAATGTCCCTTTGCAAATTTGCCTTTACTAGTCAAGTTCCTCCTCCCCTGGAAGGCTAATGAGGCTGACTTAGTGAGTTGACTGTTCCATCAAATTTTCATTGTTACTTAGGATGTACGTTGCTGTTGGATAGTGTGCAAGCATCTGAATGAGGTTCATATTATCCAATGTCGTTTCATAAGAGATTCCTTTTTGTAACAAGTTATTGATGCTTATGTTGCTACTGAAAGGCCTAGGTAGGTTCTTGCTGGTAATTATAGAAATCTCATCCAGTGCTGCTAATGTTAAGTGCTGTGGAGTTGCCCTTGTTTCTTACCATTAGGATCCAGAAAATTTTCTGTCTTTCTTGTTAACTTTTTATTGTGATCTGAGTGAAAGTTTCCTGAGCACATTGGTCAGAGAGTTTTCATTGACTGAGTTTGGGAGGTTAACTAGGTCTTTCTTCAGTCTGGAAACTTCACTGTAACATGTCTGCATTGTAGAAACACACAAACCTCCACTGACAGATGGGTCGTGGCTATACATGTGGTACAATAGATGGGATGCAAACAAGATATCTTGCATGGACGGCAAAAATTGTACCATGAACTATGATACTGGGGAGAGAAATCTCAAAAACATGAATTAGGGGAGATCTGTTTATGGGGAAGATGAAAATGAATTGAAAATAAAAGTGCTGGTACCTTGTTTTGTAGCATCCAGATGAAAAGAGATTGGAAGGCCTCTCCAAGCAGCTGGACTGGGATGTTCGCAGTATTCAGTGTTGGTTTCGACAAAGACGCAACCAGGAGAAGCCCAGCACACTGGCGAAGTTCTGTGAGAGCATGTAAGTTGCTGTTTTTCTTTTTGAAAGAAGAATCTGCCTAAGTATCCATGCCATCCCTGAAGTGGCAAATAACATTTGGGCAACACCTGAAAAGCACATCTTCTGGTGGAAAAAATAATCACGCAAAAACCGGTGGATAGTAGTAGTTCCTAAGAATTTGGGGTTTCAAATTTGGATGCACTAAGTGAAGTTGTTGTTGTTGTTAGGTGCCATCAAGTCGATACGGACTCATAGTGACCCTATGCACAACAGAATTAAACACTGCCCGATCCTGGGTCAACCTCACTACTGTTGTCATGCTTGAGTCCACCAATGCTGCCACTTGGCCAATCCATCTCTCTGGGGTCTTCCTCTTTTTCTCTGACCCGCCACCTTACCAAACATGATATCCTTCTCCAGTAACTCATCTCTTCTGATAATATGTCCAAAGTATGAGAGATGAAGTTTGGCCATCCTTGCCTCCTAAGAGCACTCTTGCTGCACTTCTTCCAACACAGATCTGTTGGTTCTTTTGGCAGCCCATGGCACTTTCAGTATTCTCCTCCAACACCATAACTCCAAAACATCAGTTCTTCTGTGGTCTTCCTCATTCACTATCCAGATTTTGCATGCGTATGAGAAGTACCCCTAATACAATTCCTACAAAGTCAGCAGATTACCAGAGCCTCTGAGGAATTTTCAACCAGTCATTTGGAAATATAGCATTAACATTTATCAGTGGTTATAACTAGAGATGTAGTTCCTAATCACTTGGTGAAGTACCCAAGCCCATGCCCCACTCCAGGTAATCTGATTAAGTAGGGTGAGGCAGGTGGAGTTTGCACCTGGATACTTTGGAAGAAGCTTCCCATGTGATTGTGACACACAGCCTTGCTTAAGAAGCAACAATATCTTAAAATAGATAACTACTGTTTAGAAATACGAAACATTGAATTAGAAACCCAGAGAACACAGCTTTGGTGTTCATAGCTGTAGGTTCTAAATATAACAATCCTATTGCTTTCCTTTATGCAAGTTACTGTTTAGAAAATATAGAATTCCTTCAGGTGACTGGTATTTCATTTTTCAGCAATATGGAATAGTACCAATATGTAAGTCAAACAGTGCCCATAAGCATCTACTGGCATGTCCGATGTTTGGCACACCCAGATATTAAATGCAGGTGAATTTAGTAGAAGTAGTGATTCCATGAGTGTTGAAGAGCAAAGATGTCAGCTTGAGGACTAAGGTGTGCCTGACCCAAGCCATGGTATTTTCAATAACCTCATATGCATGTGAAAGCTGGACAGTAGAAGAATTGATGCTTTTGAGTTATGGTGTTGGAGGAGAATATTGAAAGTGCCACAGGCTGCCAAAAGAACCAATAGATTTGTTTTGGAAGAAGTGCAGCCAGCGTGCTCCTTGGAGGCCAATATGGCCTTTGGACATATTGTCAGGAGGGACCAGTCACTGGAGAAGGATATCATGTTTAGTAAGGTGGAGGGTCAGAGAAAAAGAGGAAGACCTCCAATGAGATGGAGTGACCAAGTGGCAATATCAATGGACTCAAGTGTGGCAACAGTAGTGAGGTTGGCCCAGGATCTGGCAGTGTTTCGTTCTGCTGTGCATAAGGTCACTATGGGTGGGTACTAACTCGATGGCACCTAACAAGAACACAAAGTGATTCCATGAGTAATATGCTGTAATGATGTTTTTTCTTTTTCTCCTTTTTCCTTGATGTCAGTCATTCAAAGCCCTGACTGACAGTTGTGATGAATATTCTTCCAGACACATTGAAATCATTATTGGAAGCAGAAATAGAGATTTTTCCAAGAGGGAGTAAAGATTTCTTAAAAAAAAAAAAAAAAGAATTTTTCATGTGAGACATTTTGGGAGGAACTGGTTCAAAATGGAAACTGATGACGGGTTGGCATCATTCTTTCAGCCTCCTGAAATTTGTAATTCTCCTCCAACAATGTTATAAGAGTTGTACGTTATTATCATTCAGGGAGAAACAGGATGAGGCAGAAAAAAGATGTCAGAATATGCGGCTTCCCTCTTATTTGTGCCCTACCACCGTTCATCATTTTTGAGTATTGTTCATTACATTTAATAGCATACATCTCAGAGTAAATGTTATATCTGGCTTTTGTTTAAACAATCTCCAATTGACTGGAAAGATAAATCTCTCAGATGATAACCTCAAAATGTAGGGCAAGGAATATTCACACTTCACAGATTACTATTAATTTATTTCAATTGAACTTTGTGCCAGATGGTGCGGAAGTTAGGGAGCGCACGTGCAAAATTAGGGCTCTAGATTTTCTTTCTTCTTGGAGTTCCATTTTAGAGTTGATGCTGACTGAAACTACCCCAAATGTTGCCAGGTCTGGATACTTCTCAAGAGTGGCAGCAGCCTCACTAAAACCTGGGAACTTCTTTTGAAACTGTGACTTGACATCTGCAATGCAGCCCTGTGATTTCCTGAATCTGTGATTCCTTTCAACTAAGGATAATTCAGCAGCGAGAAATGATTGGCTCATCCAGTTGTCCTCATTCTACCAGTTTGGACACTGAATCTAAGTAATTTTTCTTACTTGGACAAGTCAGCATTTCCTTTTGTGACCTTATGTAGAAATTTGTTGTTGTTAATTGCCATTGAGTTGGTTCACACTCATAGTGACCCCTGCATAGGGTTTCAGAGGCTGTAAGTCTTTGTGGAGCAGAAAGCCTTATTTTTCTCCCATGGAGTGGCTGGTAGGCTCGAAATGCTGACCTTGTGACTAATAGTCCATGCTTATCCTACAAAGCCACCGTGTTCCCTAGTTTGAAAGTTGTTCTGAAGTGCTGTTGAGTAGGTTCCAATTCATAGTGACCCTGTTTAGTGTTTCTGAGGAGCAGCTGGTGAGTTGGAACTGCTGACCTTGTGCTTCGAACCGACCTTGTGGTCCAGTATGTATTCTACAGTGCCACAGCTAGGAAGGAGGGTGAGAATTACAGTTCAAGTCTTTTAAATCCCTTTATTTTAGACCAATCTTTAATCTGATGAAGTTTCATTGGTGACTCAGATACCTGCTTGCCAAGCAATTAACTTGCATTTTGGCGAGAGCCTTAAAATTTTCCATACATTCCATAAGCTGATGGTGGACAAAGTTTGCTTAAAAAAAAAAAAAAAATAAAAAAAAGATTCCTTTTTGATTTTCTCCAGTAGATCATATCATGAGCATGGTTTGCAAAGTTTATTACCAGAATTCCTCCGAAGATTGATAAAATATTTAAAGGGGAAAATAAGAATTCACTTCTAGAAAAGGGCATCTTCTTGTTTCTAGTACCAGGATAAATCATTAGCAATGTGCATCTGCTGACCATGAGGCTTAAAAAAAAATTAGTCATAAATTGAAGAACAACCTCTGAGTTCTTCAGAAGTATGTGTTTCAGTTGTTTTACTGCTGTTGTGGTGATGGTAGTGGTTGTCCATTAATACAAACAGTCTCTTAAAAAATGTGGCACCGAACCATCTCTCTCACAGCACCCTTTGCCCAGCTGGGTTCAGGTCCATTGCAATGACCACACAGAATTCAGACATCATAGTCACAATGGTGGGGTTTACTGGGGAAGTTAACAGGTTGCCGTTCAGGGTCAGAAATGCTCAGGGCACAGTTATATCCGTGTACACAGCTTCTTCTCAGCCCACGGACAGGCCTGTCTGTCTACTCAGTGTTACAACACTCTTTAGCTCTTCTAGGGTTGCTAATAAATGCCTATAGGACACACCATTCCACCATAAGCCTCAACCTGCAGACACTCTGCTCTAGCTCTGTGGGTTAGCAAACTGATCACCCCACTCCCACATACACCAAAAAAAACGTGCCTGGAGGCACCTCACTCTGCAAGTAAGTCTCCTGCCCAGAGTCACTCTTCACTTGCTCCATGGGCTGGGAACATAAAACTCACTATTCTGTCTTGTACTGCAGGTTCTTGGGTCTTGCCCTCTGCCACTCCTCTGGTGCCATAGCCGACTGTCCCTGAGTGGAGGAAGTCTCAGTGTCCAAAGGACGTGCTCCACTCTGTCTCTTTTTCTTTGATGCTAGTGAGTTCCCCACCTACCCATGGTAGAGTTCCAAACTGTTACAGTCACAGTTTACTCTGTCAACAATTATTCACAACTAGATCATGCCTCCTATCAGTATCTTATCCCACCTTTCCTTACCCAGGCCCACCAGGAAAAGAGTTATTTGGTGGGAGTTACAAGATCTTAGACTAGAAGAGACATATTACATAATGCATTATACCACACAGACCTCGGAATTGTTGAGCACCTTTGTCATCCACAGCACATAATTATAGACCTAGTTATTGCTCAAATTTGGTGGAATTAGGCAGTGGCCTGGTGTTCAGAACTAGTCCTTTAAAACAGTTCTTAAATCTATGAGTTGTATTTAGGTCAATTTTCAATCTAGGGCATGGCTTAGCAAAGTTTTTGTATTTTTTTTTTAAATCTATATAAAGGCTATAAAGTAAATATTTTAGGCTTTGCAAGGTAAGTAGTCTGTTATAGTTACTTAGCTCTGCTATTGAAGCATAAAATGGCCCTAGAAAATATGTAGACAAGTGAGCATGTTTGTGTTCCAGTAATACCTTATTTGTGAATACTGAAATTTGAATTTCATGTAATTTTCATGTGCCACCAAATATTATTCTTTACAAATGTACAGCGGTCTAACTAGATTTATTAAGGCCTAAGTCAGAATCATTGGCATTGGGTTTGGTTTGGTTTCGACAATGTTCTTATTCAATTTTTTTTTATTGTGGGAAAATATATATAACAAAACATTTGTCATTTCAACCTTTTAAAAATGTACATTTCAGTGATATTACCTACATTCACCTTATTGTGCAACCATCCTCACTGTACATTTTCAAATGCTTTTTTCCCTGAATAGAAACTTAGTACACCTTAAGTAATGATGTCACTTTACCCACGCCCCTAGTTCTTGGTAACCACACCTAAACATTTGTCC